ATGCAATTATGCTGAAGTTGACAGTCACTTACCAAAATATGTTGTGGAGGAAACTGAGTTAACATAATGATATTTAGTTATGGATGGATGCCAGTGATGTAAAAAATTTGACCAGAAGAACAGTCTGCAACAAGTAGTATCATTATCTTCAAATGAAAACGTAAGGTTTTCATAACGTGTACAATGCTGTCTATGAAAACATATATTTGGAATTGTGTGTTTGCTTATTAATAATTTTATGTAGTTATGTCACAGCTTAATGTGTGATGAATTGCTATGATGTTTTGTATTCACTTGGAAGAGAAAAATAAATATCTGTGCAATTTGTTGGTTGAATGAGATGTTTATCATGGAACTATATTTCTTCGTACATATTTGAAGTATAAAAGTCCTCTTTCATTTATTTAAATAATATGAAGTTATTAATATAGTATTTTTTGAACACAGAATGAATGTGTAGATCTCAGTATGTAAAAAAGACAAAATTCATTACCAAAACTAGTATCTGCAAAGACACATGTGGAAGTTCACCAATTATTTCTTGTGTACTGTGGCAGATGCTTTTTCTTTTTGGCTGTTTTATTTCACATGTAGGTGATTTCCAAACCTCCAAAGTCCAGTAATTTTATAGGAGAGCTAGTCATGAGCAGAGGACATAGTAGGTTTCATAAGTAATCTTAAATATATTGTTTTTTCTTCATGGCTCATGCATAGCAGGCATTGATACAGAATATTTTGTCTCATGATTAAGAATGTGAAATTGTTAAAAATCTTAAATTTGCTATTATGTTCTGATGGCTTGTAGTGGGTATAGGTTCAGAATATTTGATGACTTGATAAGAGGGAGTAAGTGAACTTGTTGAAATCTTAATATTTACCATTATATTTTCATGGCTTATATATAGTAGGTACAGGTTTGGAATATTTGCGTACATAACATAGGAGGTAACAAAGAATGTGCAATTGTTAAGATGTCAGAATTTGTCCCCCCCCAAGAAGGTTTTATATATCACCTACTTGCATGTTAATATTTTAAATTATGAAATACAAAATTATGTTATGATAGGACTATGGTTAGGGCCTGTGAGCTATATAGTTCATATTGATGACCTGTTACAGAAATAGTTCACATATCTGTGAGTCAGCGAGTTCAAATTTGTAGTTATATGGTTTCCTTGGTGAGTCTTCTGGTGGTGTTCAATTTTGTTAGTAATTTATCACACCTACTTTTGTCATTCATAAATAATTTTTATATTTAAAATATGTGAGAAATAATTTTTAAAGAATCATGCTACAACTTTTGCATTTTTTATTACCTTATGTGTGATACAGATTCAGATATAATGTATGTTCCACCACTTTCAATTGATCATCATAAAGTCCTCAAAATTGTGTATAGCCCTGTTAAATATGAATGCATGGATTTCTTATATAATTTTTGTGTGTTTATTTAAGTTATTTTGTACTTTTCGTATGCTTCTTGAATGATTTAGTTGCATTATAGATTCGAGGGAAATATATTTTGAAAGATACTGTTATGACATTGATCAGTGGCCTTTCATTTGTTTTACTTGTCCACCTTTGCATCACATGGAATTTACATGCAGTGTTATACAACATTCATAATGTGCCCTGTTTATTGCACACTGTCTGCACTTTGCTGTGTGTTGGACAGATTTAAAATGCAAGTATAAATAAAAGCTTCAGTCAACTCTCATTTATGTGGTAAAACCTTGATCAAACTTGTACTACAAGTAAATTAAGTTACTTCATTTTTGAATAACCTGATAAGTTGTTAAAGAAAACTTTCCATAGATGGTAAAATAGTATGTTTAGGACACTTGTTGAAGGCATATGAGACTAAAGTAACTTCAGATAAACTGACCACTTCGTTAATACTGAATCGCGTACTGTGTTTTTAGTTTACTTTGTCATTGAAATGTTGTAGTCAATAGGAGATTCATATTGTTAATATTATGCATTAATAAATATATATCCTTCCAGAATCAGCATTTCTCTTGTATCATCAACTTATTACTTGTTTTTATTCCATAAATAATTAAAGACAAGTATGTCATATTGATGGGCTAAAATGAAACAGACAGGAGATGAAATTGATATAGATCCTCTTCCATTTTAAAGTCCTTCCTTTGCCAGCATTTCTTTGTGTGGTTTTGTATATTTCTTGTACAAAAACTGAAGTTGTGTGCTTATTGTTTGAATTCTGATTGGGGCTGGAAACATTGTCTTATGATGCAAAAAAAATCTTTTATGAAGTGTCTTGGAATATTGTTGAGTTTGGGCAACAGAAACATGTGGAAGAAATTTTATAAAATCTGAACATATTTTCATTAGCCACTCTGAAATGTTTATTTTTTGTTGTGTTAAATTCATATTTTGCTTTGGATAAGACTTCTGTGTATCAAGAACTTCAAAATCACTTTTTTCCAACAGTTTGCTCTGTTGACTTTTAGTGTGATATTAGCGAGATGTTCTTCCAGCTCTGATTTAAAATAAGTGTATGAACAATGCACTGTATATGATTAATGTACATAAAACTGAACAAGAAATATATTATAGAATCAGTCTCTTCAGTTTGTACTGGTTTTGATTATGAGAAAACTTATTCTTTGAATTGTAACTGCATTTCACAGCCTTGTGTGTGCTTTTTTGGTACAAACAACCAAGTGCTGATTCTTTTACACAATTTCATTCCAGCATTTAATTTTACTTTGCATGAATTCAGTATTGCTGGATTATTTTGTATATGCTCACATTTTATCACATTATTATAGAAATAAGTTGAATGAAACATAAGTGTTTTTTTATGTATGAGTGAGAAAGCTGTCATTCAAAATGAAATGGATGTGCAATTTTATGTTCTGTGTGTTGAGCATTTGGATGATTACTTCTTGGAATGACTAGTTTTTCACTGTAATTTACATGATCTGTAATATTAATGGGAATTATAGAATATAAAATTGTATGAGTGTCAGTTTATAATTTCCACTAACATCTGTAGAAAAATTTTGAAGGAAGCCAGGCATCATAAATTCTTCCCAGAACTGCTTCTTGCTAGATCTTTATTTTCACTTGGTGTATTCAAGCTTCCCACTAATTTCCATTCTGTAACCATGCTTAGTACTAACGGCAGTAACCTAGCATTCAGACAAGTGAAGGTACTTCTGTTTGTCTTCATGTCTTCTCATTGGAAATGGATTCATGTGATCTCCAGCATCTTTGCTGAAGTTCAGACAATGGTGTTACCCATTATAGTACTTGTTGCACAGAACAATAAAAGTGTTTCATGTCTGTGTAAGACATTGCAAACCATGCTTAGATGATGTTAAGAGAGAATTATCAATGTTTTGTTTCTTAACTGTGTTCTTTGGTAAAGGAAACTCCACTACCAAATACTGACACCACCATCATTAGACACAATCCTTAACCTAATGTCCACTTCAATATCCTCCTGTCATTCTTAATCTTCATATTGGCCATATTCGAGAGGTTTTAACACTAGTTGTTTTTTTACTCACCATCTCTTGGTTCTCAATTTATTTAATAACATTCTTACAACTGCATATATTATGTAGTGTTTGAACAACAGAACGATTAGAAATTATAAGTATGTAGAAGTCATGGCCTGTTTTAAGGAGTTTCACAGCATTTACCAGAAGGGCTGGGTGTGGGAAGGCTCAGTCAATGCATAGAGTTGAGACTGGCAAAATTTAGTAAACATGTTATTTCCCTTTCTTTGTGAAATGAAAGTTGTAGATATAGGTATGTTCTCAAGTTTGTTGTTGAACTTTTTACTATACACAGCTTACACACTCATATAATGCGACTTGAAAATTGCACAGAAAAAATAGAAAAAGTGCTATACTATTCCACCAAAAAACTTGTGTCATTATACTGTGTGAATGTCATTAATAGTTACTGTTGGCATTTTTGCTCCTACTCAAGTTATTTTTTCAGTGGTGCAATTTACATTTTCTAGAAAACAGCTATTTGGCATTCAGCTGCAAAGCTATAAGAAGTCACAAAATTAGTATCTCTTTAATTACATCATTAGTAAATTTTGCCCTAAATAATTGTCCTGATCTCATCTAAAACATGGTAAAAATGCAGTGAAACTGTTTTCACCACAACTTAATTATTGTTGAGCAAAAAAAATTAGACATTTTGGAGAAATTTGTACAAATGTATTCTCTGGGTGTTGAAGAAGAATTACAGTTTCCCAGAGAAGTTTATGTAGGTGTTCTTACACCACATCATGGGTGGTGACATTAGCAGGGCAGGGAGCAGAAAATGCAACAGTGGTATTCAAGGTCATTGTAAAAATATACATGAAACTGTATCCAAGGTTATGTATGCCTGGCTGCTAGAGGACGTAACATTTTCGTTCATAGGCCCAACTTTATTAAGTAATGCATTTTACACATAGGACAGATGTCTGAATAGCTTCAAGAAGCATGAATTAAAGACTGTGAAAGGGCATACCAGGAAACATCTGTAATTACCATTACCATAAAAACAGTTGGTATTATCTGTGCATGAAAGCTTCCACAAAATAGTTCTGAATATTGTTGAACCCAGTGGCACCTATCACTAGTTCTGATGAGGAAACAACTTATACAATTGCTACAGGTAGTGAAGAAGAGTCTTCACTTTGTTCTATTAATTTTTCACTCCTCCCTTTTTATTGTTTTTTGCTATAATTTAAATTCATTTTGGAGGGTATGCCAAAGAAGGCTTTGAGAGCAGAACAACTTTGTCTTGTAAACGACAATGCAGTAGGCTTATTAATACCACAGTGGTGAGTAATTATCAAATTCATACCAAAATGAATGTAGGTCTCCTGTGAAAAAACCCGTTAAACTGCTCCGATTTCATCTCATCCATGACTTATGCAGTGTAATTTCATTTGGCGAGGAGTAAACCTTATGATGCTCCCCATTATGCAACTTTCTCCAACCAATTAAAATACTACAGGCAATTCTCGAGCAATATGTGGAGACAGCTGGGCAGCAGGAGGGGGAGACAAGACATTTGCTTTCATTTTCTGCACTTCATTGGCAATGCATAAATAGTTTATTGAAAGTATTTAAATACACACTAAACAATAATTAAAATTAAAAGCCATTCTTGGGTTCAGAATTTTTTCCACTTGAGCAAACTGCACACTGTACGTTGGTTGCATTCATTTACTGGTTTTAGCGTGGATTTGATACGGGACAAGTTATGTGACAGGCGTCTTTTTTAAAAATCGGACCGAGTTTCTGGAATATATTTCAACCACTTATATGATGGATAATGATTCTACCACGTTATGTAATTCTTTGCGTAGTGGGGGTAATGGGTCGTCAAGTGCTCGCTGTGACATTAAAATGTAAAATGGCCGGAAACGTGACGATCAATTTTTCAGTTTTCTGTGATTAAGCAAACATTATACTGTGGTCAGCCTTGAATACGTATTATCATGACGACGTTTATACGAGTCAGACTTCAAGAATTCTGCAAACGCACTCGAATTTGAGTTTTCTTTGTACAAGTATAGTTTTTTTCGTATTTACTCGTGGGCATTCTTCATCTGCAAACGCACTCGAATTTGAGTTTTCTTTGTACAAGTATAGTTTTTTTCGTATTTACTCGTGGGCATTCTTCAGTCACGTTGCCTGGGTTTGTACCAAAAAGATGAGTTTACTGAATGATCTGTTCACATACCGGACTCTTGTGCATGCCGTTGCAGGGGCAGCCGTAAGTAGAAATTGTTTTGCAGGTTATAACATGTTCTTGGTTACTGAATGTTATTTACGGAATCTTCCATCAGAGAAGCCATAATGTTCTCCACCTGTCATGATATGATCGTAATGACGGTCTGCTAATTTGCCAATCAAATCACAATGTTGTGCATTAGTCCATACCACACATTGAATTTTTAACTGTTTCAAATGAGTGTGTTTCAGTAGTGAAATCTGCATTTAAGAGAATGAATGGGTTATAGAGCCTGAAGTGAGTTTTGTGTGCAAACAAATTAAGTCTTCTTTGCGGTACTTCGTGTACTTTATCTGACGTTCACTTGGTAATCTTGTGACTGCCCTGAGTTTCTGAGAAATTATTCTTGAATCTGTGTTGAACTATCATTTTATACCGATATCCTGTGTGTGGCCTGTCCTGTACACTACCAGTAAATATGTTGCGTAATTAGAGGTGACACTGCCTCAGCAAACCTGTAAACACCTTGTATTTTCTAGTGGTGTCATTTTTGATCAAGTGTTGCAGCATAATCTCTATCTGAAATGAACAAACATGATTGTGTCAATATGAATGTTCTAAGACATTAAAGTTATTGACCTTTGTAATCTAGCCAGGACTTTGTGGAGAGACTATTTGCGTAATTGAGGAGAGATGATGGTTGTTGACATAAAAGTAATATTTCCAAAAATAAAATTTGTCAAACGTTGGCTCTTGTCTTTGTTATATGATACTGTAACAGGTACAATTGTATTCCAGATGTACTCAAACAGAATAAATAACATTTTTCATGTTAGGTACAGATTAACTGTTTAAATGATAGATAAATGGAACTCCCATATTTTTTCTGAAGATCCATTTCAATATTTTCCTCTAATCTGCACCTAGATGTATAAAGCAATCTCTTTCCTTCATATTTGCTGATTAAAATCTATTTGCATTTCTCATTTCCACCATGCATCTCCTACCCAATTAATCCTCTTTTATTTAGTCAACCTAATAATATTTTGTGAAGAATGCAGTTTATGTAACTTGTCAGTGTGAAATTTTCTTAGGTTTCTTTGGTTTTCTGTCTTAAAAATTCATAGAAGGAAGGATTAATATTAATTGCTAAATATTACATTTGTTATTATATATTCTGACTCAAACAAATTGTGGTAGAATCTTTTGTAAATATACAATGCAATTATATATAACTTGTATGAATTATTTTATACTTGAATTTTAAAGTTAGTAAATATACAGATGGCAATGCATGTCTGCCCATTTGGCTGCAAGAGAAATATGTGTTGCAATACTGAAGTATTAATTTGGTTTAAAAATTACATAAATTACAATAAAACTAGCCATATGTAATTTTGATTTGGGGTTTTCGTAGTGGCGAGGATGATAATGTTCTTCTGGGTTTTGGTACCATGTTGACTCATAAGTAGAAGTTAACATTTCAGAGAAACATAATGACGCCATCTTCAACCCTGAAAATGAAGACATTTCAACTAAGCATTGGCTACTACATAGAATTGTACATAGTGCCAAAACCCAGAACGACAACATGAAATAGAATGCTAGTTCATCCTCAGCTGGAGCACATATTGATAAGTTTCCTACAATATTTCAGTCCCTGAGTATGGTCTTAATTCATTATTGATTGAACATGGTGTGGTTCAGTATCCAGTCTAATCTGCATTAAATTTATGTTGCAGGGCAGTGTTGTTGCAATGACCACATTCTTCCCACTGGACACTGTGAGGTCACGATTACAATGTATGTATTAAAGTGTAATTGTTAGGTATAAATCTGTATCTGCTAAAGTTCCATATTTATCTGTAGGATTATGTGGGCACTTTATTGTAAAGTTCTTATGTTCATGCTTATTTGTATTTAATTTGTTCTAGTGGAAGAAAGCAGAGAAGCAAAGAACACATTCAGTATACTTGTTGACCTGGCAAAAGAAGAGGGATTGTAAGTTTGGAATTTGAGACTATCTTGGATGTATTCTGTTAGTAAGTGGTGTATAATTTTGTCATACATTTCTATTGTTATCCATTGTTTTAACCCTTCTCATTCTAAAATCAATACAAGATTGAAAAGGTATACTCTTTAGAGTACACCAATATCCAAAAGGTGTTCTTTATGCCACATTGTGTAGGTCATTCTTCCACTAATGTTATTCTGGTTCATTGTTGTGCCCTAGGTCATTCTTGTACTTATGTTATACAAAGCCATTGTTGCATTTAGGCCATTATTGGACTAATGTGAGCCTAAATCATTGTAACATAACAGTGGAAGTGAATGATGTAAACAGACTCACACATAACCAGCCCATAAGGTGATCTTCACGGAAACTAGGGTTTGAAGAACACCTAATAAAGTTGCTGTGCTCAGTTAGAAGAGAATGTAGAGTTTATAAATAGTTCAAAATTCAACAGGACCATAATTTGTGGTGTAGTTTACTGTGCTCATTCCCTTTATAATTGGACAATGGAGTAAGTTCAACCTTTAATTCCAGTACTGGACAAAGTTTCATTATACATCGTTTACTAGTTTGTGAGCTATCATCATGTTCAACTTCAAGCTTTCATGGCGACTGACAGTGATAAAATCCTCTAGGGTGATCGGCCACATCTGTTTGGAACAGAAGTCTAACATTTCAGAGATTCTTGTCTGTCTCCATCATCAGGGAATGATGTGATGGGTAACCACAGTTGGTTGTTTACATGTATAATAGGTGTCCCTGCATGTGCAGTCAGTGACCAGTGAGGGAAAGGGGGCAGAGTCATGTGAAACCCATCTTGAAACATTTGCTCAAAGCTGCTGTACGTGAAACTTTGGGTCCAGAGGAGAAAAAGAGAGAAAGAAAAAAGGAAAATGAAGAAAGAGAGAAACAGGCATGCGTTGCTGGTCAGGAGGTTCCATTATCTGCAAAGGAGGGGTGAATGCCTTTGCGAATGACGGAACCTCTCGAACGGCAACAGATGAATGACTTTCTCTCTTTCTTTCATTGTTATTCTTATATTTTCTTTCTCTTTTACCCTTCTTAAGACCCAAAGTTTCAGGTACTGCAACAGCTCTCAGCGAGTGTTTCAAGATGGGTTTCACATGATTCC